TCTACAGAGAAATGGATTGCCAGGCGTCTGAACAATACCTTTCGTGGGAACGAGAACACAAGGCATGTATTCAGGTTTATGTTGGTGCAGACATGGATTATTCGAGTACTCTCAGAGCAGCAAAACGCTGAATCATGTGAACAGAACAGCGCACAAAAAGACAAGGACAGGGAGTAAGGAACATGCATAACACAAAAGCGCTGACTCGCAACTGAATTTATACACAAAAGAAAGAATAAGAGGACGTTCTGAAAGACTTGCAGGGCACTCAGTGCGTGTCACACGCGACACAATACCATTTAACTACAATGTGTATGCCCCATAGTCCGATCTAAAAACAAGGTTTTGGTTTGTTTCTAAACCGAAACCTTGTTTTTAGATCAGACTATCAAACCGAACCGAAACGTTGTTTTCAGATCGACTGACTGAAATTCGAAACTCTAACCAAATTTTAATAAAAAGAAAAAAAATTCCCCGACGTTTCGGGACCAACTTGGTCCCGAAACGTTGAATGGGAGGGGGGGAAGCCGCTTATGTAGGCCGGTAGCGATCGCAGCGTCCGGGTTTTTCCACGAAGCGACGAAGCCCTGACACATATTTGCTTAGGAGACTGCCCGACGACCTGTTGATGTTACCTTTTGTTGTCAAGATGTACCAGGATTCTAAGTGCAAACGTTTATGCCGGTGTCGTTCCGCACCCTAGACCTCGCTTTTGTCGATGGACACACGGTGACCCAGTTTCGCAATGTGTTCAGCGAGGGCGCTGGCTTGAACGTCATTCTTCTTCACGTCGTATTTGTGGCGGCGGAAGCATTCCGGGAAGTTCTTGGGTTCCCTCACGTAGGCTGCAGGGTAGTCGACGCACGGGATGCGATAGATGAGGCCTTGGGATTTCTCCTTTCCCGGTCTGTTTTTCGGGAGAAGTCGGTGACGGATGGTGGACACTGGTTTGTGAGTGACTGCAATTCCATGTTTACTAAGGACGTGTCCGATGGTCTGGCTGACGTTCCTCACGTATGGCAGGCACAGATGACTCGAAGGAGCTGGGGCCGTGAAGAGGTGGGGATGGCGCAGCTTGTAGACCCGATTAATGAGCCTTTTGAAGTAGCCGTTGTTTGGAAGGTCGGCATTGATCTTGTTGACCTCTTTCCAGAGAGACTCCTCAGTCGAGCACACAGACATGGCACGTCTGAACAGCGTAGTGACCACCGACATCTTTTGGGTGATAGTCAAAGTTCAAGCACCTTCCAATGTGCTAAGGTTCCTGTACACCGAAAAGGCAAGCTTGTTTGAAGTCTTCTTTACACTGGTGTCCATAAACGGAAGCCCACCATCCTTTTTGCGTTCCACCGTGAACTGAATAGCAGGTTCGACCAGATTTAGGTGTTGGCAAAGACAATCGATTTCGGTCTTTTTAACGAAGCAAAACAATCGTCTACATAACGAAGGAAGATCTTCGGCTTTGGCACGAACAAAGCAAGGGCTTGCTTCTCTATACACGTTTCTGGACATCAGTGTAAAGAAGACTTTAGACAAACTTACCTTCTCGGTGTACAGGAAGCCTACACTCACCGGAAGGTACATGAACTTTGACTCTTAACATCCCACAACCCACAAAATGACGGTGGTCACTGCGCTGTTCAGACATGCCATGTCTGTGTGCTCAACGGTGAAGTCTCTCCGAGAAAAGGTTAACAAGATCAAGGTCGACCTTCAAAACAGAGGCTACACCAAAAGGTTGATTAATCGAGTCTACAAGAAGCTGCGCCGTCCCCGCCTCTCCACAGCCCTGGCTCCTTTGAGCCGTCTGTGCCCGCCATACGTGAGGAACGTTAACGAGACCATCGGACGCGTCCTTCGTAAACATGGAATTGCGGTCACTCACAAACCAGTGTCCACCATCCGTGACCGACTTCCCTTCCCCAAGGACAGACTGGGAAAGGAGAAATATTAAGGCCTCATCTAGCGCATCCCGTGCGCGGAATGACCTGCAACCTACATGGGGGAAACCAAGAACTTCCCGGAACGCTTCTGCCGCCACAAATAAGATGTGAAGAAGAACGACGTTCAATCCAGTGCCCTTGCTGAACACGCAGCGAAACTGGGTCTCCGCATGTCCTTCGACAAATGCGAGATCCTGGGCACAGAACGACACTGGCGTGAACGTTTTCTCCTAGAATCCTAGTACATCCAGACAACAAAAGGTAACATCAACAGGTTGTCGGGTAGTCTCCCAAGCGTCTGTGTCAGGGCTTCGTCGCTTCGTGGAAAAACCCAGACGCAGAAATCTCAACTGGCCAACATAAGTGGCTTTCCCGTCTGTCCAACCCACAGTCACCCGCGACCAAGGGACCGAGCTGGTCCCGAAACATTGGGGAATTTTCATTTATTTTTATTAAAATTTGGTTAGAAGTCCGCATATCAGTCAGACTATTATTTTCCTAACCAGAGAGATTTCTGTTGAAAAAACTTTTTACGTTCAAATGTTTTTAGATCGGGCTACGGCGTAAAGACATTGTAGTTAAGTGGTGTTGTTTCGCGTGTGACACGCATTGTGTGCCCTGCATCGCTTTCAGAACGTCCTCTTCTTCCCTTTGTGCATAAATTCAGTTGAGTCAACGCTTATGTGTTGAGCACGTTCCTTCTCTCTGTCCTTGTCTTTTTGTGTGCTGTTCTGTTCACCATGTCATCATAGCAACCTTCCCAGCTTACAACACTTTTGCTGAATCATATGCTTTCGACATGCTGCAACAGCTGCATTCATATAACCGCATGAACACCAAACGGAACAGTCAGTTGATGCTGTCTGCGTAAGACCACCAGACCTATCACTGCATCAGCACATGCTGATGCACTGACGGTCTGGTTGTTTAGCTTGGTCTTTTATTTTCATTAAACATTCAGTTGAAGTTGAGCGCTAGTCCTGTCCATTTCTTCTCTGTGTCTCCGTTTGTTTGCACACTGCTAACAGTTTGAAATCGTAAACCAACTCGCCTGCTTCGCCACAGTGATCGAATTTGGCAGGACTCTCCTAAAGCTGCTTGCAACATTTCATACTAGTCAGCACCAGTTTTCCCGAGGCGGAAACAGAAATTGATGCGCAGACGCTGCTTAACTTTCTCTTCCTCGATCTTGAAGTGCTACGCACACTGCAGGTAGCCATTCACTTAGAGGGTTCTGCAGAAAAAATGTGGGGAGATGACGGCTTCTGGTTATGCAGGCAACACAGAGTTGTCATCTGTGCTGCCTTGTTGCCACTTTACTGCGAGTTATAGCTTCCCCGAAAGAAAATCAGTCCCAGAATTAAATAATCAGCCCTCGTAAATAGTAAAAACCATGAGAAATCAATACATGTCAAGAATTCATAAAAGAAACTAAAATCATCTCAAATGCAGTTGGGTCGAGGCGAGAGCGCTGGCCTACGGATCTCCATGTGGCGGGTTCGAATTCCGGCCGAGGTGCTCGCAATCTGACGGTGGCTTACTGCGGAGAAGGCGCCGTGTAACCGAGCTTTCGGTTGCACGTGAAAAGATCCCCAGGTGGTCGGAATTAATCCTCAGTCCTCCGCTGAGGCGTGCCAGATGCCCGTCGTTGGTTTGGCACGTAAAACTCCCAAATTTGACTTTGATTTCAAATGCACTTGGCATGGGAGTGCAGAATGCTTGGGTACAGGAACTAAAACCGATTACTTCAGCATGAAGAACACTTCAAAGTGTCCGTGAAAAAGGTTTTTACATGATGCCCGTTACAAAGTAGCCGTCAGACTTTTCGGACCTTGATGCGGTTCGAAATAAGTGAATAATTAGGCAGTCTGAACGGGCCTCAATGTTACCGACGGCTACATGCCAATATTAGAATAAGCAAGCATGTCTGAAAAATCAATTCACTGCTTTACTTCGTTCGCTGCTAGGCTAATGTGGTGGTGGAAGAATTCATAAAAGAAAAAAAAACATCTTAGCTGCATTGGGCATGGGAGTGCAGAATGCTTGGGTGCAGGCACTAAAACTGATTACTTCTGCATGAAGAATGCTTCAAGGTGTCAATAAAAAAGATTTTTACAACATGATACGCGTTATAAAGTAGCCATCTGACTTTTCGCACTTTAATACGATTCGAAGTAAGTGGAAAACTGAGCAGTCTGAACAGGTCCCAGGCCACGGATGGCTACATGCCAGTATCAGAATAAGCAAGCATGTCCTAATAATCGATTCGCTGCTTTACTTCGTTCACTGCTGTACTAATGGAAGTTACATGCTTGTTGGACCAGTTAGCCAATGGTTTTGCATTGTGTCTACGCATACTCACGTGCAGGGAGCAATGTCAAGCCTTCAAAAGAAGGAAATCGATTAGTTCAGCGACCGTGTTGCGTTCGTTGCCCTGTCAGCTTGGCGTCGAAAAGTGCAGAGAGCGTAAGCAGTGGTCCTGATACATTTACTGTTTTGTGTTATGTGTTGGCAGACATAGCAAGAAAACCGAGCCGAAAGCCAGGGCCTGGTATGAAGAGGACCAGGACTGCGTGCTACGGCTCTGTGGCCTGACCGTCCACGAAGAAAACCCATGACTGGCGGCCAGCCCAGTTGGCCTGAAAGCAGCTGGCAACGTGTCAGTTGAAATCAAATGCCCGACACCAGACACTCTAAAAAAGTATGGCTGTCTAGAGTGCCTTTTTGCATCTGGCAAGTATGACGTTAGGTATGATGGCCCAGATCTCATACTCTCGCCCAAGGGGAGAATGCATATTACACACAAGTGCAGCTACAACTGTATTGCTCTGGGCAACACTCATGTGACTTTGTGGTATTTTCAGAGAAGAAGGGCTACATTGCTAAAGTGCCATATAACAAGGCCTTCATTGAGGGCTTGCTCCCAAAACTGAAATCACTTTATTTTGAACACTACCTGCCGGCACTTGTCGACGAGCATGCAGGTTTCTGAAATGCCAAAGTGTCAAAAAAGTAAACATTCACCAGAAGGACCACTGCTTACAAGTGACATTTATTTCAGTCTTCCTTAATAAGCGATGGCTGCAGATTGCAGATCCCTGCGATGACAGTCAAGGTGTTGTCAATACAATTGCTTCTTGCAAAGATTGACGAGGGTATATACTTCAAAAACCGAAAACACTTCACGCGGCTTATGGACCTTTCTACATGAATGCGCAGTTTAGACAAGCGACGCGAGTAAACCACTTCAGCATCCGAGAGCTGCTTTTTCTGCTTTCTGAATGAAGGAAGTGACAGTTTAACTCCATAAGGCAGCATGTCTTCAATGGTAAAGCCTTTATCTGCTAAGATTTGATCCCCTGGCAGAAGATATCTCAGCAGCCTAGAGTCTGAGGTTATGAACCGGTCACTTGCACGGCCTCCGTAGGCTTTTGAGATAAACATTATAAAGCCATTTGGTGCGATCACATGGAGAACTTTGGCTGTATTGTGACTTTTGTAGGGGCTGTACGTCCGCCCTCTCTTTAGCATGTTTTGTGCCCTGTCAACAAATATTTCGAAACAGTCGATTATGCATGTTGTACGTGGGAAATCTGCGAACACTGACGGACGTGTTGAGGCTATCGTCTCTTGTGGTCGCCACATAACCAGGTACTTGCGCGAAATATCTGCAAGTACTTGAATCCAAAACTTGAAAATCTTGCTTGCCAAACCTACAGAGACCTGGCAGCGGAATGCGAGATCTACAAGCAACAACCCTAACCTAAGCCTCATGAGAGTAAGTAAAATCTGGTCATTCACTGCAAGCTTACAAGTCATTTTTGCCTCTGACGACGCAACTCTGGTGTACTCTTCAAACAGTACTTTTGATAGACCTGTGGAAAACCGGAATTTTTTAGCAGGCAAAGTGTCACAAACTGAAAATGCCGTTTGTGTGGCACGTGTAGCTCTGGTCACAACAACAGGGGAGATTGGTGTACAGTACGAGTGGTCCTTCTGCTGTCCAACTTCGCACTGTATACCAACTTCTACCTTCCGGATGCCCCTACTGCAAGTGCATTGGGGGGCAAGAGTTGAGCTTGGTGATAGTTCATGTACGTCAATATCCTCCCCTTGGGGGGCACCACAATCCACAACCAAAGACGGTGTAGCTTGAGGTGGAGATTGGGGCGGAGCTTGAAGCAGAGCTGGCGGCAAGTTGGACAGCGCGCTGCTTGAGTGCACACCAGCGGGTGTAGCCAGTGCTGCATGTCCTGAGAGTGGGCGCCGGGGTTGCTTGCGCCTCCCCCTGTTTTTTGCGACCTTCAAACAAAAGATGCGAATGATGTTGGAACAGTTATATCAACATAAAAATGTGAAGAACCACACTTAAGCTTGGACTGGGGAGAAAAATGGAATACAGGCAGTGAAAAGGTCAGTGCTGCTTATGTCCACATTCTGCCTCGTCGGTGCCTGCTTTTATGCATCAAATTGTTTTGCCAAGATTTAAAGTGTTTCCAGCACCCCCACACTCAAATGTCTGCAATTTGCACATGCACTTTTTGTTTTACCAAGTGGCAAATCCTGGTGCTCTGAATGGCAATTTATTTGTAGATAGACTTAATTCATAGAGTACAATGTTCCATACCTCAAGCATGTTTTACAGTACTGATCCACTGTGCCTGTGCAGTAGTTGAGCCCTAATATTTTTCATTAAGCGACTTTTGATGGCATGCTTTAAAAGGAAGTAGTGTCTCCATATGACTCCAAAAGTCAATTGTCACCGGAGCTTACCTCATTTGTAGTCCTCAAGTTCAATGTCGGGTATGGATTTCTCTCAGTCGGCCTACCGTCAACGAAGTGAATGGAGCAAACCTGTTGATGTGAACATATATCAGTTATAATATGAGCGTACCGTCCAAGCATTAAGGTTAGCATGGTCGATAGGTAAGTTAGGCTATTATCAATGTACTGTTTACACCTGACCTATTTATGGAAGATGTTGACAGAGGTTAAATCAAAGGCGTTCACAACACCAAGCATATACAAACTTTGGAAATCGAATCGAGGTGCATGCGGGGATTGTACTAGGTACGCGCGATGGCGTTTGCAGCAGTATTGTTTGAGAGATCTAGATCAAATAAGATGTTGCACGCGTGTTCGTCGTCGCTCATTTTTGTTTACTTCAAATCTAGTACACGTGAGGCGAGCGCGTGCAGCGTGTCTAACTACATTCGTCGCGTGCCCCAGGGTGATTGGGAAATTTGCAAAAAATCTCTTCACGATTCTAGGTCTTTAATTCACGAGCGAGAGGCTCGTGCTGGCGTTCGTGTGCACGCGCGTTCTGTACCGGCTACCAATACCTCCCGAACCAGCGATGTCTGAAAATAATTAGGAACCTGATCCCCCATGAGATGGCTACGGGTTCATTTGACGTCTATTTGCCTGTTTCGACCCCGCCCCCAAGAGCAGGGTCCGTCTACGGAAGCGGCGGCCGCGGCGTCGGGCAAAGTCCGTTAACACGAGCCGTACTAACCTTTGCGTGCTTGCTGGGGTTCAGATTTTTCCGCTGCAGGTTTGCGACCCACTTACGTCGAGTTTCCTTGTTTTTCTCGCCTTGGGGAAAGCAGTACAAGGCATATGGCTGCAGGCACGGGCAGTCTTGATGTAGCAGCGGCGCATGTAGTTTGCACGTGGAGGCGTTCCACGCCTTCAAAAAACCTCCGCAATTTTTGCAGCCTACGACGGAACATGTCTTACCGGCCCGGTACGAGCTTTGTTTCTTTCCTATGGCACTCATGTGCTGTTAGAGGCCGGGAAAAGGCGCTGAAACGGAATGCTCTCCACACAACCCCACAGCGCAACAGCAGCAACCACGCCGATTTGAAGCAACCTTATGGCGGCTGCAGCGCCAGCGCCCCTGTGGGCCGGTCCGAGAACTACGGAAATGAAAAGGTGTATAAAACTCCATTTGCGGTACGTTTGCGTAAATGTTATGCGAAAACGAGAAAGTACCAATTTTAAAAACGATTTTCTCAAAAAAACAATTTGTAATTTTCTTCGTTTTTTTTTTTTGTTGTTTTGTTTTTTTAAGATGTGAATATGATAATTGTCTACTCGAAAAGCAAGCCAAGAAAGTGTGTATTTTGTTTGCATGTTCTATATTTAAGCATCAATATCGTACAAAAACGCGTTTTTACGGCTCGAAACGGACTTGCGAATTGCGCGTCTTCACAAACTTTGCCTTTCTTTAACGTTCCCACATAAAAATGAAATACAGTAGTTTCACCCTGTTATATTTATTGATAATTTAAATTTCAATATGGGGAGCAAGCTACATTGGAGGAGTTCAAAAGAAAAGCAGCACTTCTTAACAGACCAGCATGGCGTCCTAAATTTTTAATATGTAGAAATCGGCAGGACGTCTTATTGATTCGGGGCCTCCATTGGCCTCTACGGACTTCCCGCCCCTTCGGAAACAGCAGATGACCACGACCTTTCGCGCTCGTTGAGTTAGATAGGACGGCCCGTGACAGTAAAGCGAGCAGCGCACCCTGTTTTGCAAGGAGTGAAATGATACGAATGTGTCGTTGACGCGGCGAACAGTTACGCCCACCCTGGAGGAGTCAGTCAGTCGAAAGCAAAGGAAATGTTGCCTGGTAGCATGAGGACACCACGGCTTTACAATATCAACGGTCAACAACAGTTCTGCCGGCGAAAACAACGCCGTGTGCGCGATCAAACCGGCGGCGCGGGACAAAAATCCCGCAGACGCACACACAAAGATGGGCCGGTTTTGTTAGAGATGTGGGGACATTTCTAAACCAGCCACCCCTGCACACGTGAAACGATACCGCGCCTTTTCCCAAGCTTCGAGCGCGCTATTCTTGAAACGGGGGTGCTCTATCTCTCTCCGCGGAGATCCGATAACACCGAAAGTTTCTCTTTTTGAAACAGCAAAGCCCCGGAGGCTAACATTAAAAACGAGCGTGTTGGTAAATATGATTATAATGGAATTAAATGCAAAGGTGCGAGTGAGCTGGTAAATATACTTGTGTTTTTTCTGCCTGGAGACTAGTTGGGTTGAAGTCAGCCTCCTCGTCAACTATAACCGTTTGTGAAGAGTGGTCTTCTCCCGAGAGGAAAAGTTTGCGCCGGCTGACGTGTTCTTTTGAAAAAGGGAAGGGGAAAGAGAAAGTTTGAGTAACCGCAGTAACTACCTCGAAAGCTCCTCTCCCGATATGAAGCTCGAGGCATGTTACGCCTCAAATACCTTCTCGACGCATTTGGTTGTGTCCCGGAGGAGTTGGTTTTTGTTCTTGCCGTGTGCGGCTGAGTTTTTCCGTCTTGAATATTTTTATTTTTTTATTTTTTATGTTTCTTTTACGTGTCGTCGACTTCTTTGACTCTGCACCAGGCGTGGACCTATCGCCTTGCCAGCGCTCGAACTTAAATATTTTATTTTTTTTAGCGCAATTTTCGTTAAGATCGGAGTTGGGTAATATTATTCTTATTTATTTATTTTTATTCCCTAGTACTCTCCGTGACAATCTCTCCGTGTATTTCGGACCGGTTCTGTGTCTTGACTTTTATGTATAACGGAAGTGAAAAACCATTCCCTGGTGATCTGTGCGATATGCGGTGAACAAACCCTAGCGTTGGGTTTCGAAAAGAATTATATATAATATATCCATGATGTAATGACTTTCTACCTCTTAGTAATATGACAGCTAATAGCTAGTCATGCTAGTTTACAGTGAAAGTTTTATAAATCGAAACAATACAACGTGTGTGCCTCTTCGATATTAAAAGTCTACTCGGCCTGCTGATTTGATTGAATCCCGGAGAAAAGCTCACCCGAGAAAAGCTCACCGGAGATAAGCTTACCAGAGATAAGCTCACCGGAGAAAAGCTCACCGCGAAACCGGCGGATGCGGAGAAAAGCTCACCGGCCATTGAGCGTATGCGAAGAAAAGCTCACCGATTTTTTTCTTCGTTTTATATGGAGGATGTTGGATCATGCGTAACATATATCAATTTATTATCATTAAAATTCATCAGCTTTGTAGAAAAGAAAGTGTCTTTTTTGTAATATTTGTTAAGCTTATTGTGTATATTGCCTCCAATTTAAAAATTGCGGGCGAGTATTTTTTGTGGCATAATCTGTAGGCAACGAAAGCCGAACTGAAAACTTTATGAACTTGAAGAACAGGAAAAAGTTCGAAAACATAATAATGCCTGCCTAAAACCTAAAAATAAAAATTCTAAATTCCGAAAATCTGAAAGTGCATGCGCAACAACGCGGTGCCTGAAATTTCTTAGGACCGGATGCGCGGCGGAGCTGGTCCTAAGAGATCGTAAGAGGCTTAAAAACCGGTCTGGTCTCTCTCGGTCGTGGTAACCGGACAAAAGCTCACCGGACAAAAGCTCACCGGACAGAAGCTCACCGGACAAAAGCTCACCGGACAGAAGCTCACCGGACAAAAGCTCACCGGACAAAAGCTCACCGAACAAAAGCTCACCAGTTTTTTGACAGACCCGGACAAAAGCTCACCCGTTTTTTGACAGACCCAGACAAAAGCTCACCTCGATTTCTTTTTTTTTTTTACTATCCGGGCGAAACACGGGCTGGAATAAAGTGCGGACGCAATGGACATTGGATCATTTTTAGGAGAACTTGTACCTCATCCACTATTGAGTTGAGAATTTTTTTTAAATACTTTGAAAGAACGGGAGTTCGGCCTTTTGGAAAAGTACAAGACAGATGACCAATTTAAAAAAATTGTGCGGGATTTTAGATAGGCTCGGGTTGCTTCCACCACAGCTTGTTCCACAAGAAC